CTGTGAGAGGCCATCCAACCCTCCACTTGCCCAAAGGTACAATCAGCTCGATCTCAACTATTCCTGAATGATGTTTATCCAACATGCTTTCAGAAACATCCACAAGCTCCCCCAGCAATTTAGTTCAATGCTTCAGTGTGTGACTTGTTCTCAGAGCATGCAGGAAGGACAGGCTATTCCCTAGGTCTTAGTATCTGTCTTTTACATGCAGGTTTCATTATGCTTCCCACTTCTCTTTTAGCAAATGAATATGATCCACTCTTCACGCTTTTTTCCATCTACACTTCTCACGATTTTCATTGCTCTACTCTGAATTTTACCGGTTCATATCTGCTAACTGCAGTGTCCAAAACTGGATGCAGGACTTCTTCTTTGGGGCTCGCCAGATTTCTGTTGAAGGGATTGCTATAACAATTTTTCAGACTTTTCTTTATTTTTTTCAGTCCCTCCATGATGCCACCTTTTCCCCCCATCAGATCACCCTACCTGCCATCCCAACCCTGCCCTCCCCCCAACTTCCCTAGCCCCCCACCCCGCTGCTTGGGTCATGCGAGACAGCAGTTAAATCCCAGTTTTTTCCTCCCTTTCCCAGGTGGAACCAACCCAGCTCCCCAAGCCTTTCCTACATTACACTCTACGGAACCGAGACCACCGCTGTGGCTTCCCTCCAGCCTCTCTCAGTCCACTCTCATACCGGGGTCCCCAGATGGCACGTCCCCGCGAGCGTGGTGGCACGGGAGGCGAGTGAAGGGTAGCGATCATTTCCCTCAACCTGCTCACGACCTGCTGCCTACGCCCGTGACCGGGGAGTTCAGACGTGTGTGCCATGGCCGCGGGCCCCGCGGGCGCGCCGGGAGGTGCTCCCTGCCCCGGGGCTTCAGCTTCTGCCCCGGGGTGATGCCCGCTGCTGCCATCCCAGCGCCCACCCTGGGCGTTTGCCCTGCTCCTTCTCTGCAGCCAGCAGCTCCCTCTCGCCTCAGGGTGGCTGGAAAGGCAGGGGAGCCTTGCCTGCTCCAGACTGGAGGGGAGGAGGGGAGAGGGGGCCTGTTGATGGGCTGTGCTGAGGTTATGAGGAATCACATTTTCCCTTGTCTACGCATCTGCTGTGTGCGTTTTTGACGTAAGACTGCAAGCTCTTCAGGGCCAAGACCATCTCAAGGCACTTAGCTATAGTGTTACAATAACGTAAATGATAAGTAAGAGTAAATACAGTATTTCAGTGGAAATCGAATGTGAAGTGTCCAGCTGGAAGACAATGCCATTTTCCAGGCTCCCAGTTCATTAGCCTCTCACGCAGCCCCCTCCTCCTGTCTTCTCAGAAATCAGTATAAAGCCGTCGATGGGTCTTCAGCGCAACGACTGGCTCAAGCCCAAACTTGGGCCCTGACTGAGGCTCTCAGCTACCCCTGGGCTGAACCACCAAAAGAGCGTGGGTGCTCTGGGGCAGCGCTGAGCCCCACCCGTGGGAGCCTGGGACAGGCTTTTCCCCGTGGAAGGGGTGCGGGCAGGCTGTGGAAACCAGGCAGCGCTCAACTCCAGAAAACCTTCCATCCGGCTGTAGCGGGGATGAACGTCACCACCTCGATGGAAAGGTATTTCCAAACACTCCTTCTGCCACAGCAATCATAGGTTCCATAACAGAGGAAGCAAACAAGCAGGCAAGCAAAACAAAAAAAGAGAGGGGGGCTTAATTGTTGATTCCCTGAAAAACAAGCAGAGATCCCACGAGATCTGTAAAAGCTTTCAGTGTTATATAACTAATTTTACATGGAAGGCGGTCAGACTATAACCCACAAGGACACTGATTTCAATAGCATTTAGAAGTCAGGCCCCAAATTACCTTTGAAGACCTGGACTTTAATTACTGCTGTTACAGAAAGCAGCGTAAAACCTGCTGACAAGTAGCTAATGCCTAGTAGGAGTTTTGCAGACACTCAGCAATGACTGCCTCTGCAATGAGGAACACCTGATGTGAGACTGGAGGAGAAAAAAAAGGGCTGAAGTAGAAGCTGAACAATGTCAGCCTGCTTTGCCGACTAAGAACAGACCTGTTAAATGTAAACACATTGAAATACTGATCAAAGTCACGGACCTCTACCATCCACCTCAGGAGATCCACAGATCCCTAGTGTATTAGATCACAAATTTGAGGATCAAAGCTGACATCTCCAAGAGGTCACAGGAGCTTGTACAGATGCTTTACCTCTCATCCAGTTCCTCCACCATGTTAGCAATGTGGTTTTGCTTACTGTGAAACTGTGGCAGAGGACTTAGATCAGTGCCAGATTAGCAGGGCTAGATTAGTGTGAAGTTTGCATTGTGTCCTGAAAATGACTGAGTGTTGTTTTGATATTTTAATTTTAGTAAAAACACAGACTGGCAGGAAAAAAACCCAAGCCTGCCATCCCAGTAACGCTTCACATTGGCTCATTTACTGGTAGCACTTTGCAAGAGGGCACACCTTACGGAAGCCTGAGAATTTTGGAATGGAGGCAATGACTAATTGCAAGTTGAAAAAATCTGCTGTGTTGCACGTAGTTTTCCATAAGTTTCCTGAAACAGAAAAGATAACAAAATCGGAGTAGTGAGAATAGCCTTAGAAAGGAATTTGAAGTTCCTACTGGAAACTTATAAAGACACTATATGCCAGCAAGTTTTAGAAAACATATTGAAAAAACCCATAGAGATAGATAGTAGACACATGACAGAAAATGTCATCATCATATCTCAGAATAATGCCATCACGTCTTTGCATTACTCTCACAGTCCTGCTAAAGGACTCTTCTGGCTCATTATTTTAAAATTTATTTGTACTGAAGCATTAAAACACGGAAACTGCCGTATTCAAGCAAAGACTCCGCTGAGTCTGTTTTCATGCTATTGACACGGCCCAGACTGGCTTCTTAAGGGAAAATGCACTAAAGAGCTACCAGGTAATCTGCTTGCAGAAGACATTCTCCCTCACTTCTAAAACAATGAGGATCTTCCAAACATGGTCTCTATTGATCTTATAAATTGTTTTTCAGTCTTGCTATTACAGCTCTGAATGCTGTAATTAGCTGTATGTACCCCATCAGCTTTGAATCCTACCTGTCTCATCAAGCATCCAGTATGTATCTGTTATTGTAGTCTTGTGTATATATATCCCTCCAGTCTCAAAGTTCAGTTGTAACCCTCAAAAACCATTTGTGTTTTATATAACTCAGTAGGAAGAAATATACAGGTTTTGTCACGTGAAGTTTACGTATTTCAGCATAATGAACACAGACCTTAAGTCCAAACTGTGTGCACTAAGTGACCTGAAAAAAAGTCCACGCTGTGTTTTCAGTGACAGCTGCTGAAAAGAGGGAAACAGAACAATTGCTTTACGGGGGCGTTGCTTCCTTTAATAATTTGTGCCACATAAAGAATACCTTTCACACTAGGTCATTCAAGAGAGATTTTGGGGGAATGTGATCATTCAGTTTATGCAGCAAAACCCAGCTACCACGGTTTAATTCTGCTGCATGCTCAATTTTTATACTGTACACCCATCTGTTGTTAAAGCATAGCTCCTGCTAAGCTGAAAGCGTTAAAGAAAGACTCTTGGGTCGCTTCTGAAAAGCTTGAAAATGTTTCATTCATGTATTTGTAGCACAGACATTGCAGGGTGTATTTCTGGATTCGAGAGAGAATTGAATGACCCTTCATAGATGAGATTTTGTTAGTTTAGGATGTTGGTTAGGCTGTATAAAATTGATGGGTTTTCTTCAGCTCCAGGTCATGCATTCTGGACGTTTTGATGAAGACTAAACCAGAGCAATTATGCATTCATAAGCAGGATGCTGAGGGCTTTACTTGGAAAACTGAAGGCTGATAACCGAGGTAAGGATCAAATATCTTTCCCAAGGCTACTGCATAATGATGAAAACATCACGTCTTAAGGCACATATTGCAGAAAGCCCAGTGCTGCTCTTTAAACTGCTGCAGGTAAAACGATGGATTTAACAGAACTGGCCTCCTCACCTGTTGGGGCACAGCAGACCTGTACAGTGCATAAAACGTAACGTGCGCTCTGTAATGAAGAGCTTTGTGCTGCTAAGAGGCAGAGCAGACAGATCCTGTTTCAAAGTTATCTTAAATGCAAGTTATCTTTAAAACGAGAAACGGTCCCAATTGTATCCCTTACAATAAAGTTGCTGGATGATAAAGCCTGCTACCTAAATCATTTCAGTCATGTATGGGAAATCAAATCCCTAGGAAGCCTGAATGCACACAAAATGCAAATTGCTCCAAACTGTCCCTACTAGATGCATGCTTATATACGTCCTCGCTTTCAGATACAAGGTGTCATTGTGAGCTCTGCTGCAGAGCCTGGTGTAACCCGAGTGCAGGGCAAGGCTGGCTTGGAAAGATGCATGACAAAGAGCCAGGTCCTGCAAGAGCTCCTTCTCGTGAGCCCTTCGACAGGCCGAGGCGCTGCGGAAGAACTGCTCTCAGGAGAAACTGCTCCGTGTGAAATCCTGTCCTAACGGCATCAGGGAGTACGCGGCTGTCTCTGGGGAGCCCGAGAGTATTTGCATTGTACAGGCAAATCCTAAATGCCCGAGGGATTAGGCTAGAAACTGGGAATAGTTTGTCAAAGTAATCCGGAATTCATTTGAAAAGTCCTTTATTGAGATGTTACTACTGTCACAGCTCCACCCAGACAGAGCCGGGCAGCACCCTGCACGCTGCCTCTCACAGCTGGAGAAAGGCTCAGGGCACGGGACTTCATCTCGCTGAAAACAAGGAAACCACTAGTAGAAACTTACGGGTATGACAGCATTGGATCCGGCCCAAAATACTTCACCTTCTGGAGACTGTTCTTGAATGAAAGTTGTTCATTCAAAGTCCCTGCGGATTTCTAAACGAGCTGAAAACTCCCATTTGAAAAAAAACTTAAGGGCCCTTCAGAATAAGATGTTGTGAAGGAAGGAACAGTAGGCTGCACACAAACTGTAAGTGCTCATTTTAGGCTGTTTCATTCAAATAATAACACTGTACTTTATTCAGGACATAGGTGGCTAGCATATGTTTACAACAAAAGCAGTGCCATGCATCAAACAGAAGCAGAATTGTTTCAGAGTCATTGCAATAACATATTATCCAGACACACTCCAGCTGGACAGATTCATGAAAGTGAGAGGCATAGGCAAGAGCTGGTTCCAGTTATTACAGGTGTCATTTTAAAAAAATTAAGTAGTCGTGAAGTGCGTAGGCTCCATTCTCCTCCCTTCCCTCCCACCTTCCCATTTCGTTAAATAAATCCATCACGTCCTCTTTCCCTGGGTGGATTTCTTCATCACTGATTCCATTGTTCTGTGACGGAATGGAACGGAACAAAGGTTACCAGATCATTTTTCTAAATCGCTCATCTGGTCTGGTGAAAACTCAAAAACTCAAGAGACTTTAAACATGCTTAGATGCTATTAAAACACAAATCTGGCCCTATTGCTTCAAAAATATAACTTAAAAAAAAAGGCATGCCATCAGTTAAGCCAACCATCCCAATTCATCCGAATATCTAGCAAAACTTAACTTCAAACATATGCCTGTATTTCACTTATTTTACTGGTACATCACAAAATTAAGGCCCATTGTTGCAGCCTTTGTTGTTCTCCGTCTCTTTGGAGAAAATATCTCTCTTTTCAATTTTACCTTTTTAAAAAGATACACAGCCAGGTAATGGTTGACGTAATATTTTATCTCCATGCTTTCTTCTGGAGCATTCAGATATAAGCTAAACAAGGGAACAATGTGCTCCGAAACTCCCTGCAGATTCCAAGGTACAGGCAAATGGTGAGCTTTGATAAACTCTTGCCGCTCCTCGGGTTTGCTCAGCCTACTGGAAAAGTAAAGGAACACAATCAAAGGCCTGCCGCGCTGCATTCCCTCCGGAGGCCTCTCCGGGGGCCTCTTTCCCACTGAAAAATGCAGACCTTCGCGCAGCATGCCTAAGTAGCTAGGCGTTTTTTAAATGCCTTCCTCCACATCTAGTGAGCAAAGATAATCACAGAATAGCACCGGGCCTTTAGGGGTTCTTAGAAAGGAGCGTACCTGAAAAACAACAAAGACGCAACTTCGGAATGTCATGAACTAACTGCTTTTGAGTTCTCATCCTGACAGGTTTTGCTTTTCGGCAAAATATTGCACAAATTCCTGCCTCTTCCAGCCCCTGTCCTTCATCAAGCATGGTGAAACTTGTATTATTAGAATATTCTTATTATATTAACGTAGTCCGTGGGAGTCAGAAACCTCAAGCAGTTAATTCACATACTTGATAACCAGAAGCTGAAAGACAGCTTTAGCCGTTGTAAGGAAAGTAACTCGCTGCCACGGTAAGAAACAAAGGAAAACTCTGTTTAAGCTCTGTTTGTCTAAAAAGAAAGCATAATAATACTTTGAAAGGGAAGAGGCTGTAATAAGTGTGGAAAACTTACTACAGTTACTAGAGATGCTAATCAAATCTCACGCACTCATTTCAGAGTGGAATCCAGACTCTCAGTGTCACTAAACCTTAGAGAAATAAAACTAATTACACTTCAGCATTTCTAGACCTTGAGGTTTTTAATCACATATACCGTCTTGCTCAACAGTTCATTCACTTTATGCAGGTAAGTTACAAGTTTTTGTAGAAGTTTCTGGAAGTGCATCTAGAATGCATTGCCTGTCCACTGTTTTATTTACAGGTTTTTTTTTTTTCCAGTGAAAATCAGTAGCTAATAAATCAAAGCATAATTACACAAACACAAAAATACAATCATTAACATTTTACTGGATACAAATGATAAGCATAAGGAAATGTCCATGTACACTCACCGACATGAATTTAATGTTAGCTTGCTATTAATATATGATACTGTGGATTGGTGGTAAAGTAACTGAAAGACAGATGTGTATTTCAAAAAAAAAAAAAAAAAAGAGCCACTCATGTTTGACATGATCTTATAGCAAGATAAATAGCTATACACAGTGATATGATCATGTATACTCACATGTGATCATATCAACATTATTTTTTTCTGACAAAGTATTATCATCAAGGTAGTTGAACCTCTTCAACAAAGCTTGCTTTGATCGAGTACCAGATACTATTATCTAAAGTGTTGGATGATACAGAAACAATCTGTGCAAGTGTAGCAATTTTGATTCAGAAAAATTTTAAAAAGTAGTATTTACAAAGGTAACCTTTAAATTCAGGGATTAGATTAAGACTCCAGTCTTCATATTCCAAACACCTGATCATTTAATTTCTTATTTTTGGCGTTTTGCTCTCCTCTCCCCATTCCTTCTCCCCACCGCAAATATTAGCCCATGTTTAAAGTAAACTATCAGAATTAAAACTCTTCAAAAAAAAAAACCTAAGTTATTTACCTTGTGCCAAAAAAAAAAAAAACAAAAACAAAGCAGCACTAGAACATTACTCTAAAGATTCCACAAATCCTTCATAATTAAGGAAAGTTCCAGGAGCAAGAAGAACTTAACCAATTTTTAGAATTTGGGAGGAGAAATAGGGGAAAGAAGAGACATTTATTTATTAACTTTTTTGTTTTGTTTTGTCAGGACTTCATTTACAAAAAGCTCCTGGTACTTTTTCCAATGTTTCCACACCTCCTTTCTCTGGCACATATGGTTTAATATACAAACAATTTAAGTAAAACATCAAATTTGAATTACCACCATAGATAATTCAACTCTTAGGAAAACTGGTGGCTTTCAGCTATTTCAAAACTAGCCCTGCCTGGCTAGCCATTTGGTTAGGACTCAGAAGTAAAATAAGAGGATTCTTACAAAAATTTGGTATTTTATTTTAGCCTTGTAACAATTTCATACAAATGAAATCTAGAAGAAACCCTTTTCATCAATATTTTATTTCTTTTGCATACATCCTACTACCCATAGGTTATAACCATATAGGCTATGCAAGAAACAGAACCATTCAAGCTCTTCTGTGTTTTCTAGTGGTTCTATGAGCCTGTTGACTTTAATGAACTTAAATGGAAAATAAAATCTCTTCAAGTCCTTACTCTAAAAGGTAGATAAACCCTCTAGCCTTTTTTTTTTAGTGGAGTGTTATTATCCATCCTTATTGTAAGATACTGCATTTCTTCTCAGCTTTAAAGCAGGGGTTGTCAATACCGTCTCTTTTTGCTTCCATCTTGTTTTTCAATTCCAACTCATTTGGTGAAAGAGCTCATCGTTTTACCTCCTTGCTGAAGTCGTTTTTTCACACTGGTCAGCTTTGGAAAGTCAGAATACTGAGTGCTTCTCTAGATCAGACTGGTACTAATTTGAGTATGGAGTGGAACCAAGCTGGTTTGATGCAGAGTTTGGACTGATTTATTTTCATGCTGGGTCAGAGATCTAGCCATCTCAGATGGTTCAGGAAACTGGGTGGGGAGTGGTAGCCATTTCCATGCCAGAGTCTCTTAACAGCAAAAATACAGAAGAGAAACTGAGAGAATGAAAAGAAGACTTGTGGTTGAGTGAAGGGAATTTCCATGTCCCTGAGGGGTGGTATTGTTCACTGAATTTGTGACAGCTGACAGAGAAGTGGAACTTGAATTGTTTGAAGGTGTTGGACTTGTTCCATTGGGATCGCTGTAGATCTAGAATGCGGGGGTGGGGGGGAAATAACAAAAAGGAGGTTTTGTGGGTTGGTTTGTTTTTTGTTTTTTGGTTGTTTTTTTTTTTCTCCTAAATCAGAAAAAAAATTACTAGTAATGAACAATGTGTAGCATCACTCAGTCACAGTACTCAGACACAATACAAACAATTGCTCATGCCTCTCATTGTGCAGTTAAGAACAAAGAAATTTCCAATTGCACGCATGGGATTTGTTAAAGAAATAAATCTAACATTTTTCTAAACGTTTTGCTGTTGTTACATAACTACCACTTTATCAAAACTCTGCACTAACACAAAAGATAGAGAAGTAGGTTTCAAAAAACCCCACAGCAAAAGAAAATGCAAATGAAAAAACTGTGCAAAGGCAAATTTCAGGGTTAAAAAAAGAATACTTTCAGACAACTGCATGAATTCATTGTCTTTGCAGACTAAGCCACAAACAAAAATATGAACAAACAACAGTAAGGAATGTATTGATACTTTTTCTGGGGCTGGTTTGGAGATTCCTTTCAAGCAATGGTGAGGCTTATGTGAGTGGACTTAATATTTCAGCCTCTCTCGCCTCCTATATTGGTGTGGTTAGTACTGAACTGCAGAACTTAACACAGTGGAACTGTTTTGATGAAATCATAACCTATCTGTATGTTGGAGCCCACAAGTAGGGAATGCAGTGGAAAGACCACATAATATTAGCAAATTTTAAAAAAATGCAGACAGAAAGCAAAATCAAAAAAATACAATTGCCCCCCTCACACACAATAACTCTGCATTATAGGGATAGAACATAAAAATTTGCACCCTACATAACTTCAGAATCAAGCTATTTCCTACACATGCACAGGAAAACTTTCAAAGCTAAGCTAATATGTTTTCTTCCAGAAAAAAAAAAAAAAAAAGTATGTGATAGATGAGGATGAAAAACAAGGGCAAAAATCACCTAACTGTTTTCCAGAAATGAGCACACCTTAGCAAGCTTGGCTCCAGCTCTGTGGCCTCAAACTTGTATTATACAGGAGCCTTCTGGTAAGCTCTGACAGTTAGTCAAAATAAAAACAAATGTATTTTTTTAAACAGGAGCAGATAGTTTAACAACTAATGCTCTCCATAAAAGGTGTCCTTATTGTCTCATTTCTTGTGCCACTGAGAAAATTTTCTTTAGCAGGAAAAAATAATAATAGTCCCTCGATGCTGAAGGCATGAAGTCAATGTTAAAATTAAAGAAAATGCTCATGCAGTTTTATAATAAGTGTCTTCTACTGGGAAAAAAAAAAAAAAAAAAAGGCATACAACAGAAAAATATCAGAATAGTGTAAAGCTTCTTGTCGTTAGGATTTTTGGCAACCAGCAACATGCTGGAAGCAATTTAAGACTGCAGGATAAAAATCGCTGTGTGGAAGTTTCTGTTGAAACCAGTCCGAAAGTGATCAATAATGAATTGCAGAGTTAATAACCTACAAGCTGGATACGAGGCAAGTGCCAACCTGCCCTGGAATTTTTTTGGTCCTCATATGAAGTCTCTGCCGCTGTTTCACACTTGGTTATATATTGTGAAAGTTTTCTTAAACAGAAAGCCTAGTTTCTGGGTTTTTTTTTTTTTGTTGTTGTTGTTGTGGAAGACGAAGGGCTTGGAGCCAAGTTCCACAACGTCACGGTAGATGGGACCCCAGACAGATCATCTTAACGAGCATGTGATAAATACCAGTAACCCAAAGGGTCTGATCCTGCTCTCACCACTGCCACGGGCAAGACTCCACTGAGCGCAGGGGAGAAGGGAGAATGCCCTTCCTTACAAACAAAGGGGGGGGGGGGGAAGAATATTTCCAACAATCTCCACCAACCCCTTTGATGTTTGTTCTTATGTTACTGTGCTATTGCCCCTTTTCAGAAGGTGGCCTCTAGGAACATCAGGTCGCCCCGGGAGCCCCGCTTGGCTTGGCCGCCTGCAGACAGGCGAATCGCGCCCCCCCCCCCCCCCGGCTTTCCCTCAAGGATCCCACGGGAAGAAAGGTGGCGAACTTTTTGTTTGTTTCCTTATTTTCCCTCCAGTTTGACCGGCATAACCCAGAGCACCGACACCGCTACCCCGGGGGGCGCTGGGCTGGGCTGCGGGCCGAGCCCACCCGCGGCTGCCCGGGCTCCTTCCTCTCGCCCCCACGGGCCGCCCGGCGGGCTCGGGGCGGCGAAATGGCGGCAGCGCACCTAACGGCCGCCCGCCCCGCTCCTCAGGAGGAAACCCTCCCCCCCCCCCCCCCCCCCCCACCACCACCACGGGGAGGCTGAGGGAGGGTCTCGGCGCGGCTGATTCCCCCGTCCCTCGCCCTCGGGCCGGCGGCGTGGAAACGCCGAGCCGCTCCACAGGGCTCACCTGCGTGGGTAGGAGGAGAGCCAGGAGCAGGAGCCCCAGGCCGAGCCGCGCCGCCAGCGCCGTCCCCATGCCCGCCTGCTGCCGCTGTCGTCCCGCCGCGCTGCCGCTGCCGCCGCTCTGACCGCGGGCCAGAAGGATGCGCCGCTCCGCCGCTCCCGCCCTTTTTTATGGCAGCGCCGGCTCCCGTGTGACGCCCCGCCGCCGCCTTCCCCCCCCCACCTCCACCTCCTCCTCCTCCTCCCCACACCTCCGCTCCCGCCCTCCGTGCCCGCCGCCCCCAAAGTTGCTGCCGGCCCCCCGCCCCGGCCCCTGCCCCCGCGCCCCCTCCGTGGGGCAGGTCCCGCGGGGCCGGGCGGCTGCTCTCCCACAGCCCCGGGAGCTTTGCTTCCCCCCCTGTTCGGTCGTACAGGCGGTGTTGTCTTTGTCTGCTGCCGGCGTCGTGTTCTGGTATTGGAAGGGCTGGCCGCAGAGGTTGGGTTGCAGTTAATTACGCTAGAGAAACGCTTATATTTATAAAAAAACCAGGGGGTTTTATTTTTTAAAAATTAAAATTCCAAATCGTGGCTGAGAGAAGGTAAAGAAGGCTGTGCGTATGCCCAGGTGATGCGAACAGTGGGTAAAAGGCTGAGGGTTTACGATCCCATCTTGTTCAGAGCTGCCTTACTGCTAGTGCTCAGACTTCAGACCCTAGGTTGCAATTTCAAGCACTCTTTGGATGGAAATATTTTATTATTATTTCTTAAAGAGTAGGAAAACTGTGTAAGAAGTGGGACAGAAGGTTCTCCCAGCTGTAGCCTGTGAGTATGTGAGAGTCTAGCTTCTGGCACAGTAAATACAGTAGTTATAGTGTATCTCCTCCCTTAATAGGCTCTGCCAGTGCCTGACCAAATCAGTTGGGTACCTCAGTATTAACAAAAATGGTCTGTGTCCACTTTATAAACTAAAAAAAGAAACACCGATATGCTGATTTTATCGTGATAATGCGGTTACTTCCATTTAAAGTAAAAGGATGATGTCCTGTTAACTCAGACTAATCAATGCACTTTAAATTTGTGTATGTTTGTGTTTATCTCAGAACAAAGCCTGAGGAGATACTGAACTTCAGCACCACATAACTCAAATGCCATCTCCAGGGGCAGGACTGCTTTTCAGGAGTTTTCGAGGGCATTGCTAGAACTCAGACCTGAATCACAGGAGATGTGGAGACGTGCTGCAGAACTGGATGCTGGGACTTCTGTTAAGCAAAATATATAATCCTAAACCCGGTCCCACACTAATTGCTTCAGAATGCCTGAAAAGGCTATAGTTACTTTGTTTTTTTCCGGGAATAAAGGCATTTCACAAGCTGTACCACCCAAGATATCAGTCCTTATTCCATATCAAAACAAAAGATCTGAGAGGTGCGCTAAGCCTAAAGCACTTGTGAAGTAACATTCCTCTGGTTTTTATACATCTCTGATCATAGCCAGAGTCCATTTTGTAAGTATTAGAATTTACCTGTAGAGTAACGATGGGAATAGTCATCAAATTGAGGGTCTTATGTCTCTGAATATTCATTAGTTGTCCCCTGAAAGCTGCTTACCAGAAGATGGCTTTTCATGATTATAGAGATCTAAGAAGAGAAAAAGGAAACTGTGATCAACTTAAAATGAAGGGGGGGGGGGGGTGGGTGAGAAATCTGAAAACTTTCCTATTACTACCTTTCCTTGCAAACTGTTTGCTTTAGTTGTCACGGTTAAATGAAATCACATACAGGAGGGAAGGTCACCTTTTCACTCAGGAGACATGCCTAATGCTACAGAAAAGTGAAATTCCCTGTGAGAATTCGTAAGTCATGTGAATCACAGCAATAAAGTGAGGGCTCACACTGTTGTGACACCAGATCCCCTGGGGAAGACGCAAAAGGAAGGGAATCCAGCTAGGGCTCTGTGATAGCCAAAGCGAAAAATGTTCTAGTATAAAGCTGACAGAGACGGTTTCCATTATAATCTCTCCCACCTTGTTTGGGAGAAAAGTGCAAGTACAAAGTGCTACAGCTGTGGCATGATCCTGCAGGGATCATAACTGGTTGTTGCAGGTTAAAGCAGCAGCTGAGACGCATTAATGTCAAAGCTGGGGCAGACGGGGGTGAGGGAATAATTATCAGATGGCTTTTCCCGTCCTCTCTACCTGGTGCATCTTACCTGAGGTCTGGAACTGCATTGGTAAAAAATTAGGATGATACACGGTTCTTGTAAGGTGACATGAACCAACACAGAATTATACAACTGCTAATTATGATTATTATATGGTGTAATGTACTTTTGGCATTTTAACAAGTTTCAGTGAGAACGGGGGTATCTTTCTTTTTGCTAAAAATTTTACAGTCTGTTCCTTTATTTAAAAATAAAGAAACATGCAGAGGTTTTAAAACATTTGAAAGAAAAGATAAATTACCGAAATAGTAAAACTATGTTAAGCTTATGTTCTGAGGCCAGAAGACATGCCTTTGTGAAATATTCCTGAAATACTAATGCAAATAAGGAAATGTACTGGCAGCAAGGGAGAAGCGCTAGAAATATTTTAAGCCAAAGATTTTCATTGGAACTTTTTTCATTGGAAATTATAATTATAATGCCTACATTCCATTAGATTCCTACAACCGACTCTCCCCATTCAGGAAAGCTGCAATATTCTTGCGTCCTCCTGAACACATGTATCACCTACACTCCTAATTCCAAAATCTTTACTTTTTTCAGCTGAAGTCTATAATGAAGTCTGCAAAAGATGTGTCTGAGCAGGAGACCAGGACCCAATATATAGATTTTTCTACCGGGCAAGAAACACTGTAACTGAGTTGAGAACTGTACAAAGTGAAGCACTGCTATCTGGTGGCCAAAAGGCACTTCTGTTTTTGTTTTTGTTTTTTTTTTTTTTTTTCTGTCAGAAAAGAGAATATACTCTCTCAGTCAAACATCATTTGATAGCAGTGTGCTCGAAGAGCTTTCATGATGCTGAGATATAGTGTTAAATATTTTTGTTAAATCCCCATTGTTCTGATTCCTTTATTTTTTTCTAGGTCAGAACAGTATTCAGCACCTCTCCCAGTTAAATACACAATATTTTATGAGAAAGCTTAACAAAGAGAAGGGAGAAAACTACTTTGATGTTTTGGGTTAAATCATCTGTGTATTCCACTGGTGACTTTTATGTTGATTGAACTTTGCAATAGACATAATTTTCAATCTAGTGATATGAAGCAAAACTTGCGCTGCTTTGTATAATGTGTTAGCAAACAAGATCAGCTAAAATGACTGGCAGAAAATAAACTAGTTGTCTATAAAAGGAAGCAGAGAAGTAGTGTCCAAGACATATAAGTAACATATTTAAATTTGGACAAGCTTTGCCAAAATAAGTATAGCCAGAGCATTGAGTGAATTTCACGAGAACGAATTTTGACTTAACCATTAATTTACTCTTGCCTTTTAGCTGCCAATCTTGATTCATCTAAACTTAAATATTTTAGAATCAGCGGTTGCCAATGCGAATCACTGGATCCTGTGCTCCCAACCAGCTCTTTGCTCTCCTTGGCTGTGCATAGACTAGAACTTACTCCACCCTGCGGCTCATCCCAGGGTCTTCATCCATTTCAAGCTCATGTTCGAGTGCACTGCAGCTCTCGGTACTCACCTGGGTCATATTGCAAGTTATTTTAGTTAATACCCATCTGTGAACATATTATGCATTTATATATTAGAACCTGATCTTTTTCCAAAGGGCAGCTCTGAAGACAGAAATCCAGCTTTGCAGGGTGGATCAGCTAGCCCATATATGCTGATCTGTGCTGACATCATCTGGTGATAAGTTTCTTCGATGTCCTTTTTTGCCATATGGATTTTGCCTTGAGAAACACACAGGTCAATATTTTCTAGAATATAGGAACACTCTCTTTTCATAAGCTAGGCTGGCCCTTCTCTTGCTACTTCTTTAGCAGAAAGGACCTATCTTTCAGCAGCAGCAGAGCTCCAGCCATATAATCAAAACTTGCCAGCTTTTATGAAACACCCTTCCTTATAGTTGCACATTCATTATCATTGCAGAACAGGATGGAAATACTGATGGGAGCTGGCTGGTTGAAACTGATTTTAGTCAGCTGGACAAAGCGGCTTGGCATGTGTCTTGGGTAAGAACTTGGAATATATATTGAGGATTACATTCCCTCTTCCAGCATAGGGTTTACATTAAATTTCTGTTAGCAGAGCTTTTAATGGAAGGCATGACTGGTGGTACTGTAAGTCTCCACTTGGTAGTAAGTGTTGACTAGATTCAATTATACATGTCTTTAGACATGGGCCTTACTGCCAAGATCCAGACTCTCATTATACCGGGATTCCAGCAGTGCCACTGCTCCCTTTCTGTGTCAATCTGAGGCAAAAAGCATCGGCCTGCTGAACTAGAGTTATATAGTTATGGAAGTAAACAAAGCCATGATTTCCAGCCCTGGAATCATAAGTGTGGAAGTTGGAGCAGAAGTGAAATTGCGATTCCAGAAATAGTCACAAGAAGAAATGTTTAAGAATTGCTACCATGGATCTTTTGACTTCCGGGTAGACTTCAAGGGATGGAGTCGGCCTACACAATTAGGTGTGGCTTCAGGTCTGCTTGAAAGCACATCTTTCTCCCTAAGTCAAACAAACTCTTGGGTGACATCAGTACAAACAAATTAAATGGTGGCAGAGCCTGTTCTTTGGCCTCGAGGCCAACTGACGAGTCTAGCCACGTCCATACTATTAAACTCTCCTAGCCTCCAGCAAATGGAAGCTGAATCTAAACGCCTGTTGGTAGGTAGTTGTGCCTGTCCTGGGCCACCCCCTGAATCATGCCCAGGGGTTTCTTGGGATCCTGTTACTTGGTATGGGACAAAACCAAGATAAGGGCTTTCCTTCAACTCATGAGGCGTAATGTCAGGTAACAGGTCTATAGACATGAAGAAGTAAAAATGATCAAAAGTCAATTTCTCCGTCTTCTGATTTGAAGCAGGTTTAAACAGAATTCTCAGAAAAACATTGGTGAGGGGTATTCCACCTCCCATAGGCCTCCTGTTTCTTTGCCAAACTGTCTTTGCAGAATATTTCTCTTGCTACACAGCCTTCTTTGCTGCAAATTTAACGATTTATTCCATCGCCATAGTAAAGCACAGATAATAATG